CAGGGATTTAGCCCAGTGGTACTAGCCAGCTGCCTCACAAGCACAAGGACCCGAGTTCGATCCCCGGTACCAAAAAAAAAAGGGGGGTGGGGGCTGGGAATTTAGAGGTAGAGTTCAGTCACCAGAATTACCACCAGTACCAAAATTTTTTAAAAAAAAGTATGTTAGGAGAATCCCTGGGCATCACATGACTTGACTCACAGGAAAGGAGAAAGGAGAAGTGAATAGAGGCTTCAGGAGTTGGGAGTGGCCCTGAGTTTGATCCTGAGGATGTTAGCAGCAACATATGTGTCATCACCACACGCAGGGCATGGTCCTGTCATAGCTTGCAACAGGCAGGGTGTCGGCTCTCATCTTGTTTTGCAGGGAGCTGCTCAGGGAAGACGTGTGACCTGGCCCAGGTGCCGGGCCAGGGCAGAGCCGGAGCTGGAACCCGGGCCCTAGAACCTGGCAGGGTGTGAGCAGAGTCTGAGCCCCCTCGTTCTCCACTCACACTGCCCTCCTTCAAGCTGCCTGGGCTCCTGGAAGCAGAGACGGCCTCTCACCCAACAGGGCACCGAGCGCGCCAGCCTCTCCCAGGGACGAGGACTCTGCCTCCAGCCTTGGCACGGTCTCCAGTTTCCCACAGGGCCGCTTTTCCTCGGTCCCCTTCCCTCAGCCTAGCAGCCAAGACAGTTTGGAGCAGAGGAAAGGGCGTGGGGCTGACAGTCAGCAGACCGGGACTCTGTTCTTTCTGCCCCAGAGAGGATGAGTCGAAGCAAGTCACTTCACCCCTCTGAGCCTTGGTGTCTCTATCCGTCCAACAGGAGGGCTGAGTTTTGTAATCGCCCAGTGCCTTTTTGACCCTAAAGGCTGATCACCCCAAACTCTCAGATTCAAGGATGCCATTCTGGTGCGCGAAACCAGCCTCTGTCCCAGCCTCCCATAGCCCCTCTTCCCTCACCTCGGAGCCAGCGCAGGAGAAAATGGTCATCTGGATTCGGCAGGGTAGGCAACACATCCTGGACATGCTCCCGAAACTGTAGGGAGAGGCAAGTGGGTGAGTGGTAAGTCCCACCTCCATGACAGCCTCTGCTGAATCCCTCTCTCTTTTTTTTTCTTTGGTTTTTTGACACAGGGTCTCACTATGTAGTTGAGACTGACCTGGATCTCACTATGTAGCCCAGGCTGGTCTTGAACTCACAGCGATCCTCCTGCCTCAGCCTCCCGAGTGCTGGGGTTACAGGCGTGCACCACCACGCCCAGCTTATCTTGCCACGGGATGCCTGGTAGAGGGGCGATAGGAAGGGTACACGACACTGCCTCCGCCTTTCTTCGAGCCCTTCTGTCCACCAGTCTGGAGGCAGGTGGATGAGTTCCTAGCTAACTGTGATAGCAGGTCCTCTGGTACAAGCCACTGCAAGAGGTGTCAGTATGCCAAGCATTCCTCACATGCACAGCCCTGGCCTCGGCGCCATATCATTTACTCCTCACTCGGGGTCCCCTGAGGTGTCACCATCCCCATTTTACAGGTGAGGGAATGAAAGCACAGACCGACTGAGGAACTCGTCCAAAGTCAAACAGCCAGTAACAAGCAGAGCTGGGGTACAAGTCCAGGTCTGAGTCCAGAGTACACTTTCTTTCCACTGTGGGCCTCTGCCCTCTTAGGACCAGAATGGGGAGGAAAGGAAAAGGGTGTTTTCCATGACTACATAAAAAAATGGAACTATGGCACTTTAGCTGGGCTTGAAGGGCTTCAAAAGCAGCAGAGGAGCCGGGGATTTAGCTCAGCGGTTCGGTGGCCTGCCTTGCAAGCTCAAGGACCGGAGTTCCATCCCCGGTACCAAAAAAAAAAGCAGCAGAGGAGGCCAGGCATTTAGCTCAGTGGTGCTGCCGCCTGCCTAGCAAGAACAAGGACCCGAGTTCCATCCCCAGTACCAAAAAAGAAAAAAAAAAAAGCATCAGAGGGAGGGGGCGGGCCATCCAGGTTGGGGGAACAGTTCCAGCAGGAAATTATGAAAGGTGGAAGTTCAGGTAGAGCCAAACAAGGGAGCAGTGACCCCAGGGGACAGCCACACCCACCTCCTGTCTCTCAGTGCCTTGCAGCTGGGCAGGCCCCCGAGTGCCCTCCTTGGGCCTCCTGCCCCAGCCACTCACCTTTCCCTGGCCACTGACCAAGGGACCAATGAGGACAGCCCGCCTCTGCCCCAGGCCTAGGTCAGCTGGGTACTCGGACCCTCCCACTCCCCAAAGCAGTTCAGAGCGCACCAGAGAAACTGCAGGTCAAACTGCAGGCGTTGCGCTGGGGATGTAGCTCAGGGGCACAGCACCTGCCTGGCAAATGCAAAGTCCTGAGTTGGATCCCCGGTGCCAAATAAAAAAATAAAAAAACAAAACTGTAGGCGTGAAGCCAACCTCACCAAGGACCCTACCCAGCCCCTGGTTTCAAGTGTAACACTTACTCCCTCCTCTGCCTGGCTTCCCCTGCAGGCTGGCAGGAAAATCTGAAGGCTCCTATCCAGCTTTCTTGAGATGGGGATAAGGGCGATTGCAAAAAAACTTCATGTCCAGAGCCCCCACAGCCACCGCCACTGCGGCAGAAGACATCTGTGCCCCTGTCCCAGGAATGGAAAACGGCCCAGCTGTGGAGCATCCAAACCTCGGGGCTGGACTCGATCAGTCCACACTGGCCCAGAGCACGGCCAGCCAACTTCCCCTCTCCCAGGGGGCAACCGAGAAGAGGCGGTCTAGTTGGTGGGGCCGGGGTCCAGCCCTTGAACGGTTGTCTCTCACCTCCTTGCCTTCTGAGAAGCATCAACCTAAGTCCCCAGACAGGCAGGGGTCTGAGTTCCGAGAGAGTAAGCCGAGTCCGAGTCCGGGCAGGCATCTCGGGCTCACTCGCAGAGATGCTCCTTCGACACCAGCCGCTGAGGCGGCCCCTGCGCTTTCCCCGAGGAGCCGAGACTCGCTGCCCGGCAGAGGCTGTCCGAGCTCGCTAAGGAGCTGTCCAGGGGCCTCTCCATCCACCGCTGCCCCCCAAAGGGAAAATCTCCCGGAAATGGGAGGAAACCTGGGGCGCTGCCCCGGCCCCGGCCAGGCTGCCAGTCCCTGCCAGCCCCGGGGATGAATGTCGCCTTTGTGCCCTCCGAGGGCTTCCGAGCAACCGGGGGGC